AGAGATTAGCTCTGGAGTGAAAGGACAGGGAGCCCATTAGTGCAAGCTTCTTACCTACCTCCTCGGTCTGCAGCCAAGGTGAGAAATGTCCGTGTCCTGGGGATGGGCTTTGCTTCCTGCACTTGCCTGCCTCATCCTCCCCACTCCAGGGCTGCTCTTTCCCCTCCTATCTGCCAAATCACTCCTGGATTGCTCAGACCTCTTCCACCAACTCGAAACGAATTGGCATCTGTAAATATTTCCTGACATCTATTCAGTCTATTTTTAGCTGTAGTTCTTTTTGTTTTTCTGCGCAAAAGTAAAACAAATGGAAACAGAGTCCTTGGGGATTGCAAATGGCTTGTTTATGAAGCAGGAGTGTCATTAACAGACTTGCTAGCAATCTTCATAAATGCATTAAAGTACTTTTCTTCCTTAGTCGCAGAAGGATGACTCCTACTCGGCGCAGGGTGACTCCAGCATGCAGCCCAAGCTGTGCCGCTCCTTCACTGGTAAGCTGGGGAGTTGTTGGGTGCTGGTGGTGGTTTCCTACCTCCCCTGCTTGTTGTGCCCCATCCCCGTGGAATGGCCCAGCTGGTGACAGGATGTGCTGAGTCTATGGCATGTCCATTCCAGGGCTGGGATTTGGGAGACAGCCAAGACAAAGCCTCCTGCCCCCCACTACCTTGCAGCCAGCATCAGTGGGAAGACCTGGGCTGTCTGTTGCAGGCAGGGAGGCAGGAGCATCACTCCAACCTGGGGGACAAAGTGGTGCTCCTTAGATGAGCATCATGAGTGGGCTTGAGTGCCTTGTCTCAGCCTGACCTGAGACAAGACATGGGTTAGTGGTGGACTTGGCAGAGCTGGGTTAATGGTTGGGCTTGATGATCTTATAGGTCTTTTCCAACCTAAATGATTCTAAGATTCAGGTGTGCCGAGATGCACTGCTGACAGTGAAGGTGCTCCAGGCAGCTGCTCAGGGGCAGGCAGTGATGCTGGGAACCATCACAGTGAGAAGTCTATCCCAGTCCAGGTGTTCGACCTCCTTATTACTTGTGTGCTGCAAGGGGGTGCATGAGTTTACACAGAGCTTTCTTGTCTCTCATGTCCAGCCAGGGCATGAGCATTTGAAAGCATTCAAAATTGGTACTGCTTTTCATGTTCTACCAAGCAGTAATTGCAGATCATTCTGCCTATGGTGATGCTACTGCATAAGCTAAATCCTTATAAAAATGAATTATATTTCAAAACATGAAGTTTGTGTCAAAATTCTTTTTAAAAAATTAAGATCTATTTTTTTTTCTCACTAAGTATTATTAAAATGCATTTTGAGTACCCCATTAGCAGCACTGTCTGTTTTAAATATCAGTCACAGAAAGATTGATGGTCAAGACCTCATGTTTCATAAGCCCAAGCCTGGTTTTTCACTGAAAAGTTTAGTTTTCACATTTTTCAAAAAATGGTTTATTATCAATGAAGCTTCACATAAAATATAGCTGGTGAAAACTGTAGACAGTCATTTTAGCCTCTGAACCACAGTGGAATATTCAGTAGGAAACTGAGCACTCTGAGTTTTTACAATACTTGGCATAAGACCTTTCAGCACAATTGTGTCTGTGAAAGTGATAATCGTGTTTGTAAAAGTAATGGCTGAAAAGAGCCGATGTTTGTTGGAAATAACAAAAAAAAGTCATGTTGCCTCCCAGTATGGGCTGAGATAGATTAAGGGACTGGGTCTAATATTAATGTACAGAATGTTTCTTTATTACATATGTACTGGAAAAATTTTTAAGAAGCAGGGAAGTTTCCTTCTCATCTTTTTGTGTCCTTCAATTTCAAATATTCACTTCCTTTGTAATTTTCTTTAAAGACTTAACTAAAAACTTGCTAAATAAAGAGCCATAGAATAGCTGGCACCTTCTCTGCGCAAAGGTAACTTACTACAGATTTGCAAGAGTGGATGGGACGACCAGGATTGTGTGGCATTTGTGTGTTCATAACATGGGCATCTGTTGTGGATGTAGCTATTTTGATCCACAGTTTATAACAAATGTTTGTCTTCTTCCTGAAGAAAAACATGAGTGTAAGGAGAGAAAGTGTTGAAAAGCAGTGTTTTTCTCTCCCCACACCTAGGAAGATGTGAGCACAAAAGCCCCCAACGCATCCTGGTGACAGGGCTGTAGGAGACTGTAAATCTTCCATCGTGATTGCTTGTACATTCACTCCAAAACACCACTTAATGTAGCAACAGGAAATGATAAATGCTCTAGCAGGACACCTGCATCTTGAAAAGCTATTTAGGTTAGTCACCATTATGAATTTTTGTTCTGCAAATTTGCCAGTGGGTGCTGTCAAAAGAATGATGATATTGGTCCAAAAACATAACATATTTCAAAGTACAAAATAGGGTTTAAATTGTCTTTTTTTCTCTGTCTTTTTCTTCCATTGAAACACTGATCTTTGCCTTCTATTTTATAATTGAAAAGTGATCCTTGCAGTGGTATAGCTCATCCCCGAGGAAATGGCCACCTCCAGTAGCTCTCAGCATTCCTTCATTCCTGTAGACCCACAAAGGAGAATGCTTCTCATACAACTTGGTGTTTTTCTCTTCCTGCAGTGGGAAATAGAGAAAAGGTTCTGGAAGTGAAGCAGAATCGGTCAAAGTCAGTGTGTGTCATCCCACCACCGCAGCCCAGCGGTATGGCCTGGGGGGAGAAGGAGGAAGTGGAGAAAGAGCTGGCTTTGGAGATGTGAAAGCACAAGTGATGCTTCTCATGAGTGATGTGACTCTGTTTCATGGATAGCTACTATACATGTAGATAATGTAAATAAGATGCATATTGAAAGGGACAATATGGACAGGGTGAAATATCCTGAGTGGTTTGCATCAAAACACCTGCTTTTATCAAAATCCCAGTGTTGTGTAATGGGAATCAGGACAAAGATGCATAGCTGAGCACTAGCAACACAAGGTAAAGTCTGAGAGAGAATTTCTTAGAAATGTCTAGGAAAAATTAGTCTTATCAGCCTGGGAAAACTGATGAAACTGTCTATAACTGCAAGAAAGGATGTTTTAATAAGGTAAGATATCAGATCTTCTCATTAGTCAGCAGGGATAGACTAAACAGCAGGAGGCATTTAGATTAAACATTAGGAAGAACTTTATAATCTCAGGGAGGGTTTTATTAGGCAATGGAGCATGCCACCAGGAAAGATAGCAGATCCAGCAAAAGATCTCTTCTGCTCCTCAGGAGCTGAAGCCAGGAGGAGGAGCCAGGTCCTGGTTATGGACATTAATCATGTAAGCCCAAAGTTAGATCAGTTAAATAAGTGTTTTGTCTCACCACAAGGACTATCCCACACCTAGACACAGTACTTCTAATGAAAACTAATTATAGCTGTGTTAAAAGGGGGAAATGTATTCTTACTAATTTTTTTTAGAATTTTTTTAAGAAATGGTTAACATCAAAAAATAAGATGGGGAAGCTCCACATCCAGTGGCAATACCAGCACATGAGTGCGCCATCCCTTAAACAGAAGAGCAAGCCTTGTATTGTGGTTGGTTGGTTGCAGCAAACCTGCAAAGACTCCCTGGGATGATCTCTGCTGTCATAGCTGAGAGAGTCAGAGGAGGTTTGAATGCTTCTCTTTAGAGGACACAGCAGAGAGAGGGACCCAAAACCTCACTGTCAGGGGTGCTTCTGCCAGGAAGGTGTGATCCCCTTTGTAGAGCAGATGCAGGTAAACTCCAGTGACAGATACCTCCACATTTGGGTAATTTTCTTTGAAACTCCAGGTAAGTGTTCAAGCCTTCAAATTCTTATCCTTAGCTGATAGGGTAGTTTTTAGCATTGCAAATATTGACATTTTTCTTTCTCTTCCCCTTCCTCTGCATTGAAGGATTCAAGAGTATTTAATCTGAGCAAGTGACTCTTTCTGAAATAAAAATAATATGAACTGTGGGAATTCACAACCTCCCCTCCATATTTTTTAACTTCCAGAGCTAATCTCCTCTGTGCAGATATACTCCATTAGGAGACCACTGGCTTGTACACTGGGGCTTTCATTTTAAAGTAAAACCACAAAATTGTGTGTATTTGCTTTGCAATGATGTGACTGTCTCATTTTCATTCATACAAACCATGTCCTGACATAAGCTGATATAGTTCATTTTGACTCAAAGGCTGCTCTTCACTGCCCTGTCACTGGAAATTCACCTCATTGCAAACAAAAATTGGACCTTTTAGCCTTATATGTTTTGTGCATGTATATACATATGTGTATTTATTGATTTTTAGTATTAAGGAAGTTCATTGTCATCTTCAGTTACATTATTAAAATGTTGGTTTCTCAGTTTAATCTGCCTTGCATGGAAGTCTTGTGGATTTGTCAGCACTAGATGTAGAAAACTGCCCATCTTTGAACATCTTGTAATACGCCACACATACGAACGTGTTGCAATGTGCTGTGTTCTTATTTCAATTAAATATGCTGTGTTACGAGATCATCTAAGAGTTATTACCTCCTTGCATCCGCAACATGCTCACAATGACGTCGGTGGTGGCTGGTGACATGCAGGGTTTCTCTCTGGGTGTCATCAGTCCAGCACAGCAAGCCTGTCAGATCCGCTTTGAACAGTGGCGCATTCAGCTCTGCCCTGTGCAGTCCTTGATCGGTGATCACAAGATCATGAGCAAGGCAAGTGATTGTAATGAGTAAGGAAAATGGTCTATTTACTGGTGTAAGCACTTATATACACGTGAGAGAGGAAAAAAATACTGAATATGCAGGTCCTCAGCTCTCTGGGGTTGAAATGTCTGCTGTTTCCTTGGAGTTTAATGTTCACAGCATATAAAAATTCTCCTTAAGTTCTGCACAATAAATAGCTATAGAAAGATTTTCTAAGATGTGTCCTTTTTATTTTGTATTTTTATTCTTTTATTCTGGAGAGCAAAAAGGAAAATAAATCAAGTTGCTTGCCAAGGAGTTTTTAGTCAAGTATTTTTTTTTAATCAAAGGTAGAAACTTTGTGAATGCTTTGGCCAATTCTTGCTTTTTGATTTGTTTGTTTGGGTTTGTTTGTTTTTATTTTCTTTTGCTTTCGGCTTCTGAACTATCTTGCTTTTGTCCAAAATACCTGGATGTCTGTACCATCTTTGTCTTGTACAGCATCTGTCATGCTTCTGGGCATTGGGTACTTAAATAATGATCTTTTTCTGTTTGAGTTTCCCATTGTATAAAATGAGTTCTCTGCAATATTGTTATGAGCTACCAAAGACCTTATCAAATGGTGGTTGTTCTGGCATGTGTAGATTTCTTTGTCATACTGTAGAAGGCAACAGAAATAGTTGGAAAAATTAGAAAATATATCTGAAATTTTATTTGATGTGGAAAAAAGAAAAAAATTTGCTTGCATTTTTTCAAAATGGTACATTTTCATCTCACACAAAAAGAGACATTTCAATGCCAGCTTCTAGCAATTCCAGATGTTGCTCTGCTCCAGGTGTGCATCTCAGTGGCTCGTGGCTGTAGAGGCTGCTCCAGCTAGCCCTGCATCCCTATGCCCATGCACTGCTGGATCCTGCACAGATCTCAGCCCATTAATCTCTTCCACCCCTGCCCTGCAGTGCTGGTACCATAAATACCTCTCTGCTGTATTAACAATTTGCTTGATCTGCAGAGAAGACAATATTCTGTGCAGTACATACTTTCCCAATGAGTCACTCTGCCCCAAATTTAACCTTCTAGATACTGTGGATTTTTTCTAAACGTTTCTTTACAAAATATAATAGCACAGCTAAAGCTTTCATGAAGTATTTTCCAGTTGCTTAGTGGCCAAGCCCTCTGACTAGTATGTATTTCAGCCCAAAATGCCTTTGATAATCTTTGCCAGTATCCAGTGTTGGTGGTCTTAAAATTCTACAACTGAGTGGAAAACTGTTAAATGCTCAGGCTTCCGAGCATACCTAATTAATTCTTTCCAGGGTTTTAGTCCTTTAAAAAGTGTTAAAAACATGGATTCAGTGTATCATTGAATATTGCATGGTTCTGTGGAAATAAATTGCATCATTTTGATTCCTTTAGTAGTTCAGAGAGTTATTGCTCTGTGCTTATTCTGGAAGTTTACAGGAGTCTTTTGGAAGATAGGGTTAGAAAGGCAAAAGTTGCTAATGATGGGGAGTAGCTCGATGGCAAAGTAAAAGCCCAAAAACTACACTGGAGAAGTCCGGACACATAGATCAAGCAGCTGCATTTAAAAAATCAGGCTACATCTCCCTTGCACTGACATCTCCAAAAAAGAATTTATGTTCAGCACGTGGACTTTTAGAAATTATTTTTATTTTTACCAGAAAATCAGACTTGTGTTTATTTTATTTCATGATTGCTTAAGGAGATTATAATGGCTTAATCCTGGAAAATACGGGCAACACTTAAGAAGCAGGTGAAGCAAATTTGAGCTTTTCTTTCTCTCCTGACATCAAGTACTAGGGGGTATTCAATCTCATAAGATGTTAAATAAGATTAAGGATCTTTCAACATCCAGGCTTATGTGCTTCTTCCAAGAGACATGTAGACGGGAGAGATGAAAAAGGAGCGTGCGATGGAGATGAACTAGTGATTATAATTTTAATGCAGAATTAAGGGGGCAAATGTCAATACGGATATCTGTTCCTCTTCATTCCTGTGCAGATCATACTGGGAAGCTGCTCTTTGCAAAGCCATTCAGGGATGTTGATGGCATTTCCAAGGCAAAGATGGTAGAGCATGGGTGGCACTTGGTGTGGTCTGCATGGCTTTGCTCTCCTTCTTGGTTTCTTCTTGTTCTGAAGTTTGTGGAGACAACAGTAAAGGCAGAGATCCATGAGAGATACTCACCCCTTCTACCTAAAGAAACACAATGTGGAACATCTTTCAGAGCATGACAGATCATCAGGGTAAGTTCCAATGCAGAAAGATATACAGATCTCCAAAGGAACTTGGGGAAGAGTGTGAAGGCAGCCCTGAAATCACATTTGTTTATAAAATTGTAAGAAATCCTCTGCTTTCAGCATGAAAATATGTTGATCTATTTACATCATTTGTAATTTTTCTGTAAGCATGTATCAAAACACAAAAAATAACAATAACTCAGACTGTGCTGATGGAGTCTTTGATCAGTCGAAAGGTAGAACACTGATTCTATGAAATATCTGAGCTGAAGAGACCCAGCCCTTTGCTAAAATATCTATGTTTTGGAGATTCATAATTTCAGTTTAAAAGCTTAAGGGAAAAAAAAAATAAAAATCACTGGGGTCAATTAGGAAATAAATGTCACTAAAATGCCCAGGATATGACTTTTCTTTCCTTACACCTAGGTCCTAATGCTGCCTGTGGTGGAACCCTCATTTGACAGCTCTGGACATGAGGACCTTGAAGGCAGCTCCCCCCTGGCACCAGAGGAGGTAAGGGAGGAATGGAGGGTCATTTTCCTTGGTAATTAAATGGTATTTGTGTCTGACTGTTGTATGGATCATGGTGATAGTTAATACACCCACCTGGCTTTGGTGTAACACTCCAGAGATCTCAACACAAGCTACACATGACAACCGGCCAAGCTATCCTACAACAAGATGCAAAGGGTTGTGGAGCTCAGGCTGGGTAGATACTGGGCTGTCCTTATGGGCCCACTGTGCTTTCCTTATGGCCTCTGAATAACAGATGCTGGAATTTGATTATCAATAGTGTGGCAACAGGTCTGCAGTCTGACCCCAAAC